ATGTGAAATCTGCTAAGGAAGCGTGGGAGAAAAATCTAAGGATGGCAGTGTTAAGTAATAGTAATGAGCAGTGAAATATGAACCAATACTATATCAGGGTCATGGGTTCCTTTGAATTCCCTTTAATGAACAATCAAGTAACTTGCAGAACAACAACAGGCGTACCAACCTGGAGAATGAACACTTAGAAACAAAAGGAGCCAACTAAGAAATGCATCAAAAAGGAAAGGTCAATGGGGCTAACTCCTGACAGGGTCTCCCAGGGTCATCATAAAGTTAGGATTTACGGCCGTAGGCTTCTCAATGGGTTTCAGAATGGAACTTTTATTAATAATACAGGTGCACTAAGGTAAAGTTTGTCTGGCCACTGACCTTAGAACCCACATGAACATAGGATTGACTTGTGGATGAAGCCCCCCTGAATAGGATGGTCACCATGACAGTCCCCGAGAGAACCACCTGGGGTCAAAAATTCCACTCACCCCACATGAAGGTAGAGTTACACATCTGATTGGCAGAGACTGCAGAGGGTGGATCCCAGCTCTCAAGGCTGACATCAAACAGTAGTGCATTTGGTCTCCTCTATCTCCCTCAAGGGTGGCTTCCAATTAAACTGTTTTTCTTCACCAAACATTGTTCCTGGTAACATTTCCAGCTCTTGGTATTACCAGCTCAGTCGGGTTCTTTTGCTCAACTTGAGGTAGAACTCATGGAGGCAAGCAACAGAGCTGGAAATATAGCTCTGTGGTAGAGCATTTGCCCAGTATTCATGAGGCTCTGGGTTCAATCCCCAGCGCTGCAGAAAGGAAAAAAGGAAACAGAAGCCAATAGGCAAGCAATAAAGTCCAGAGAGGCTTTACTGGGGCTGAGGCTCAAGCATAAGAAAGACAGCTCAGGGGCAGGTCCCCTCTGACTCCTCCCTGAGGACTCAGGATACAGAAAAAGGTGAGGCTCATGTAGTCAGAGCCACCAGTTGCACATGACCCCAGGATTTCTTCACGTCTCGTCAGTTCTGGGGTTTGCACTTGACACAACCATCTGCTCAGGCACGATGAGTTCATCAGATCACGAAAGACGGTGGAAGTATTCACCACCACCCCAGGAAGGTCATGTATCAGTCAAGTTCAGGCACATTGTCCATGCAGGGGGGCGGTGGGAAAGCTTGGGGGAGGAGTCAGCAGCTCCGGACCCTGGTCACTGGTGGAAACTTGTTTTGCATTAAGCCAGAAACCTTGGTGGGGGAATCAGGGCCCTCCCTCCTCTGCCTCAGCTGTGGGGACCATAATTAGGAAGGCTGTCAGTTATCAGGGAAGTCCTAGGCCTTTGAGAGTGAGTGCTACAGAAATTACTGTTTAGCTTCCTAGGTTGTCACTTGAGAGAGCAATTTGGCTTTGTGCAAGTCTGCCCTACAGAAAACTGGCTTCCTGGGCTGCTTATCGCAGATAAGGGGTTGGTTTCCTGGGAAGGGCTCCAGGTTGTGGGCCAAAATTCTATTTTCATGTATGATCTGGTCATTGTCCATTTGTATATTTTGCCTCACAGGCATGAAGCAAGATGTGAGCAGAGCATTAGAAAGGCCAGCAAGGCATAGGTCATGGTTGTTTCATGAGTAAAAAAGAAAAAGACACCTGGGAATACTCACTTCTAAAAGTTTGAAATAATATATATATATTTTTTTATTTTGCGTATATATATATATATATATATATATATATATTTGTAGGTGGACACAATATTTATTTATTTATTTTAGTGTGGTGATGAGATGGAACCCAGTGCCTCACACGTGCTAGGTGAATGTTCTACTGCTGAGCTACAACCCCAGCCCCATGTTCCTATTTTTCTAGCTAAATTGCCCAAAATTCCTGAATATCCAGAGAAAAAGGCAGACCAGGGGTGACTTCAGGACCAAGGAATAACAAGGCAATGAGTTCTCTGGATTTTCTTGGGCCCTCATGTCTCCCAGGCTTGCTTCTGATGAACCCAGCAATCTACAAATGTCAACAAGCACACACACAAAGAACCCTACAGAAGCCTGATCTGTCGAACCAAGAGACCAGAAAATAGACAGCCTCGGAAGACAAATCGGCCACACAATAACTGTCCACTCCAGACAACCAGAGAAAAAAACTGGCCTCACCCCATGCACCCCCATGGAATCCTAGATTCCACCCTTCTTAGGTTAAAGTAAGGATCCCCAAACCCCATGCCAAGGGGTGTCAGAGAGGCCAGCAAGGTGCTGGGACTTTCATCCCCCTGGGTGATAGGGAAACCTCCACTCTGTCGTGAGACCAGAACACCACACCCATTTAGCATGAAGAAGGAACACCCAGGCCTTTGGCATCCGTAAAGGCTGAGTAGGAGACCTGGAATCCTGTGCCCTCCCAGCAGTAAGGGCTGGCACTCAGCCTTCCTCTGCTGGGCAACCTGCCTTCAGCCTGCCAACATGAGGTCAATGTCATGCTTCAGTTTTGCAGTGGTGAACAGCTCCCATTGAGGAGACTTGGTGAGCGGTAGAAGGGCACTCACTGGCCTATTTCTTAAAACTTCATATGTGTCTACAATTATCTCAAAAATAAAAGATTTAATGTTTTAAATTTTTAGAAATAAACACAAACTAACTCTATGGCAAAGGAAAGCTATGGTTTGGGGTTTTTTTTTCTTTTTTAACTGTTTTGTTTATTTTGGTATCAGCAACTGAACCCAGGGTGCTTAACCACTGAGCAACATCCTGTCTTGTTGGCAAAAGGTGTGCTTTATGCAGTCAAGGAGGAGAAACAAAGAATGTCCACGTGCTTCTGCCTTTGTCAATGCTTTATTCATTCAAATCACTCAGTACAATTTCACTCTATAGGTTCTTAATCAAGAAAATGACCATCCTTAATGCTAGGCACTGCAATAGATAAAATCAATTCACAGCAAACAATTCTAGATTAATTCTAAGCACTGCAAACACACTTAATCATGACAGGCTCATGACAGACATTCCCTCTGTAGGCTAAGTTCAAGTGTCAGATCAAAAGTCTCAAGCCTTAGGCTTTAAGTCCAGCAGATGCACAGTCACTCAGACCACGGTGATCAGGTCAGGAATTGAGGCAGGCTTCTCCTGGGGTGGAGCTGATGGCCAGTTGAGGAGAGGGTTGTAGGGAGAAGCTGCGGCTCTCACCAGGGTCAAGATGTGGCTGTAGAGTTTGAAAGCGGTGAGGAAAATGCAGAGGATCAAGCAAACGAAAAGATGAAAAGTGTTGGGATGTCAGTCCAGGTCCTCATCAGGCTCTCAGTGTGAAGGCATCATTGTCGGCTGGCTAAATGTCTGTTCATTTGCTCTATTATTTATACCAAATTTGGGGCTTTTGACCCCTCTTTTAATCCTTATCAGCTACCACCAGATCTCTCCGTGACATCATTTACCCTGGGGTTGAAACCTCTGGTCTAGTGACCCACCCTGATCTTTTCACCTTTCCCTCTTATGGGGGAAGACAGCCAGCCAGAGACTTCACTTTGAGTTCATCAGGGTAGGGAGAAGTGACTTGTTGGTGCCTGAGGGCCATACTGATGGGCATGCCTAGTGAGACTGCAGGTTTCAACCTGGAATAAAATGGAGTTGCTTAGGCTCAGGCCTAAGGCCAGCCTTTTTCTTTTTTTTTTTTTTTTCCTGTATTTTACTTAGAGACAGGGTCTCACTGAGTTGCTTAGGGACTCACTAAGTTGCTGAGGCGGGCTTTGAACCTAGGGTCCTCCTGCTTTGGCTTCCCAAGCCACCAGGATTACAGACATGCACCACCACACACCAGCCAAGGTATGGGTTTTTACCACAGAGTAAGAAGATTAGATTGGTATCATCATCAACCTTTCTGACACCAGGGTCACAGAGGCCCTGGTTGTGACCACTCTGAGCCTCACTGAAGCTCATCAGAGGGGAACAGCATGCTCTGGAGAAAGCATCTTCTACTTGGCATCACGGGATCTCATGTCTGGCCACCCTTTACCATCAACTGTAGGAGATGTCAGAGAAACTTTGAAGTTTCTGTGTTTCTGGGGTCAAAAGTCTAACACTCTATGGGAAGTATTGAAGGAAACAAGGAGGAGGGTGATGGATGATATTTATTATGGAAAAAAAGATCTTGAGTTGAGAGGCTTTTGATTCTGACAAATTTGCTTGTGAGCCTCCTCTGTTAACAGCAGTAGGATCTGAAAATCCAAAAGGATAAACACAAATGTCTGATCAGTGACCAGGACAGGCTGTGGAATACCTTTTAACAAGAGGGATTTTTGAAATGAAAACTGTAAGGCACTTGATGTGCAATCAATTTCTTTCCAGGATTTCAAGCCCTGGTCACCGGGTGGGATGGAGCTGCCTCAGCTCAGAATGGGGGCTTATGTGGAGAAGGAAGGAGAGGGGTTTGGTGATCAATAACACTTGTGAAAACGCTGCAATGAAGAAGACAACCAATACTTGGTGGAAATTATCAATGGGAAGAGACACAGAAGTCAGAGAGTGCTAGAACTCAAAGGCTGGGGAGTCATCCCAGGCTGGAGGGGCCAAGCTGGGCCTCTTGCAGGAAGTGGGGCTCTGCTGAGTCCTGAGAGCAGACAATACCAAACAGAGCCTCAGGGACACAGCTATCCCTAGGGGCATGCAGGGGATGGAGAGTCCTGGAGTGTAAGGGTAAGTTAACAAAAACAATAAACTTAGGATTGAGTGGCAATATGAATCTCTGAGGTGATTTTTGCATGTATACAAAAAACATAATCAACAAATCAGTTTATAAATTTTTGAAAAATCTGTTCATGCTCAACACAGGAAGTATAGATGATTTGTCACGCATCTATACTCAATCTCAGCCCTGAAGGATCTTATGTCCCCACAGTGGAGGTACACAAATACACTTTCACCACTAACAACACATCTTCTCTGCTGGCTGGTAAATAACATTTTTGTGGAGAGTCTAGAACAACATGATTATACATTTATTTCCTATTTTAAAATGTAGGTTTTATTATTATTATTTAGGTACAGTGAGGCTTACAGGTCAGAAGATGACTTCCATTGAAGAGATAGTCTGTTACTTACATCCCCAAGTAGAGGGGACATGGCACACCATAAAAGTCACCAGGGCTGAGGAGCAGGCAGAAGGTGCAGGAAGAAATCATGGGCAAGACCCCTTATGGTGGCTTCTGCCAGAGGAACAGGCCAGACAGAGTAAGCAGATTTAGGATTGCTCAGTTTGCATCATTTCAGTGGTATAGAGGCTGCCTCTAGTGATCTGGATACCTGGCCCTAGAGTGATGGGAACAAATGGAGTTAACAAGGAGGTGGGGGAGGGGTCTGGAGTAGCTAACCAGCACAAGAAAGCCAATCATTGGTAAGTGTTTGCTGTTTCTAGGAATTAGCCAGTCTTGAGTATGCAAGGCTCCATCATCAAAGCATTCTAATTACATCAGGACTACAGAAAATAAAGACATGACTGAAACATTCCAATATTCCTTAAATTTTTATTGTGGGCACCACCTATGTGCCTAGCATTGCCATTGGGCCTGTGAATTCTCAGAAAGCTTGTGGACTTAAACTTCATTTGACAGAGCACTGCCTTTCTTTGAGGTGGTAAACACACACACACACACACACATACACATACACATAACTTAACAATTCAAAAACTAGTATTAGTCATCTTGGGCTGCTATAACAAAGTACCATAGATTATGTGATTTAAACAACAAACATACATTTTCCGTAGTTCTCTGGAGCCCGGGAAGTCCAAGATCAAGACGCCAGCCAAACTGGGTTCCCACTGAGGCTCCCTGCCCAGCTTGCTGACTGCCACCTCCTCACTGTGTCCTCATGTAGTGGTGAGAGAGAGAGATCTCTCTTCTTCTTAAAACCTCATGAGGCTCTACCCTCATGGCCTAATCCAGCCTCAATTACCTCCCAGAGGACCTGTCTCTAAATATCAACACATTAGGGGTTACAGCTTCAACATATGAATTTGCAAGACACACAAACTTTTAGTCAGTAACACTAAGTAATTCAAAATAAGTATCAATATGAATATTGCAAATTTCTCAAACGTGAATAATGTAAGAACAGACCCCTTTTAAAGAAAAACAAATTCTTGTTGACTTAAGTTATATTGTGTTATAATATTACTTAAATCTAAGAAAAGAGTAAATTAGTTATAAAAACCCTTATACTGCCAGGCACAGGGGCACATGCCTGTAATTCCAGCAGTTTGGGAAGCTGAGGCAAGAGGATCACAAATTCAAAGCCAGCCTTAGCAGCTTAGTGTGGCCTTGTTTCCAAATAAAAAATAAAACAGGCTGGGAATATAGCTCAGAGGTTAGGTGCCTCTGCGTTCCATCCCTAGTACCAAAAAAAAAAAAAACTTATATGGACAACTCTTATTGCAAACTCACAATAAATTTTTAAATTACATAAAATAAAAATATAAAACCATTAAAATTTAAAATAGCAGTTATTTAGAATGATAGTTGGCAATGTTTTACATAAATTTGATTTGTACTACTGGGACAAATAGTAGAACAATGAATTCAATTATTTCCTATTTTAATTGTTACTAATACAAATCCTCTGACTTTGAATATATCAAGTCACTATTTCAGTTATTGACACCAAGTTCATTATCATCATCACTGAGCTTTATTGAACTCATTTCCAACTCCTGATACACAATTTTGATAGACCAATCAACTTAATAAGGGTGCAAAACTGTGGGGGAAAATACTCTCCACTAGTCTTTTTGCAAATCCACATCTAAATATGTCAGAATTGACTCTCCTGCCATGTATAACTACAAAGAACAATTTTTTTAGAAAAAGAATGATAGAAACAACAACAACAGATCCACATCTAAGTGGTGAATTCCTGCAAGCTGGAACGCACCCTGGAGAACTCAGGTAGCACACTGCTCACTGCTGACATGGCCCTGCTTCCTGCAATTCAGATTCTGACCCTGCTGTGGGCCTTTTGATCATTTCATTTTGCCCCCCCACACACACCTTTTGTTCAAGCTTCCTAAAGTCTTTGTGTATTTGACTCACTTGGACATCATTTTGGTTTTTGGTTTTGGTATTGGAGATTGAACACGGGGGCACTTAACTACTGAGCCAGATCCCCAGTCTTTCTTTCTTTCTTTCTTTCTTTCTTTCTTTCTTTCTTTCTTTCTTTCTTTCTTTCTTTCTTTCTTTCTTTCTTTCTTTTTTTTGAGACAGGGCCTCACTGAGTTGCTTAGAGCCTCAGTGAGCTGCTGAGGCTGGCTTTGAATTCATGATCCTCCTGCCTCAGCCTCCCGAGTTGCTGGATTATATGTACCCACTACCTATAATCCCATTTTGATTTCAATTGGCACCACAAAGTACCCGGAATCTTAAGATGAAATTCAAGCTGATGTATTCATATGATGGTCTAAGCTTATATTATTCTTAAACTTAGTGTTGAAATTAAAACATTAGCAGGAAATCTTGCGATGCCTTTCCAAGAATAAAGTTGTGAGTCCTCAGAGGTCCTTGGTCCCAGTTTGAGGAATGGGGCATCATATGGATTAAAGGGGGAGATGTGTAAAAGTAGCTGAGTTTGGAGCAAGGATGCAGCTGGAGGTGAGTGAGAAGATGGGAGGATACTGGAGAGTTAGCAGAAGGGACAAAAGAGCCCAGAGGCACTGGAGAGGATATCAGTGAGCCAAACCACCTCATCAGTGTCGCTCTCCAGTGTCGTTCTCCTCCCGTCTTCCTGCCCTACCTGCCATTTTTCAATTGCTATAAAACAATTGTCTCTTTTAAAGTCATTTCCAGCATCATTTCCCTGGATTAGATTCTCAGTCCACACACTTTGTGGCGTCCTGGTTCCTTCTCCTCCATTAGTTCTGAACCAAAATAAAACCCTTCCAGTAGGTTTTAATAAGGCTCCTCACATTGTTTGTTCACATCACCCACTCTTTTCCTCTGAGGCTTGTGTAAGTTTCCCATGGCTACTACAACAAGTTGCCACAGACTTGGATTAAACAATAAAAATTATCCTTTCACAGTTCTAGGGAGTCAGAAGTCCTAAAGTCAGGGGTCACCAGGGCTGTATTCCTCCTGGAAGCTCAAGGGAAACATCTATCTTCTTCCAATTCTACCTTCCAGAGGCCACCTGCATTCCTTGGCTTGGGCCCCCTTCCATATTCAAAGCCCAGCATCACATCCCCAATTGCTTCCTCTGCTTCCACAGCCACATTGCCTTCTCTGAATCTGACCCTCCTGACTCCCTCTTATAGAGACCCTAATAACACTCTGGGCCCAGCCAGATCATCTAAGATCATCTCCCATCTCACGTTCCTTAATGAATCACATCTACAAAATCCCTTTTGCCATGTAAGGTAGCCTAATCACAGGTTCTAGGTATCAGGATGTAGATAGCTTTGGGGGCCATTATTGAGTCTCTTATCACAACTCATCACTTGTCGGGTTACTTCCTTATTGTCTATTTCTCACACAGTCTGCTGTAGGTTCCATGAGTGAAAGAACTATGATTGCCCTACAGGGCTAAATGCATAACCAATGGTCATAATTGCTGAATGAATGAATAAAGGAACAGCAGGATGTGTGAAGATAGCGGGCATGACCAAGACAGCTTCCGGTGACGATGGACATGGCTTTTCCATCTGTGCCAGATTTCCCTGCGAAATAGTGGAGAAGCAAGCCAACCTTGCTCACAAGGACTTCCTTCTGCTGTTCTACAGTAGATAACCACCCTGAAGTAGGACTCTAACTGGCGGAGATGGTTTGGGTATCAACCTCATGGACCTATGCTCATGGCCCCAAAATAAGGTGACATGATTGTCACCTTATATGTATGTGACTGAAACTAAATTATTTGTTTAAATGCATCATTCCTACCAAATAAACCTTTGTATTCCTAGCTCTTAATTTTAAAAACAAATGAGTTAGAACACACTATACTTAAGGGTGGAGGGAAGAGAGACATTAATTACAAGTTTGGAGTCTTGAGAACTAATTCTAATTATTTAACTAGCTGGGGGCAATGGACAAGTCACTTGCCCAGATTTAGCTTTAAATCTCTGAGAAATGGAGAAATCGGTCTAAATAACCTCTAAGATTCAGTTACACAAAGGTAGAAAGTAATTAAAACAGAAGGAAAGTTGTTCATACTCAGGAAGGTGTTGCATATAAGTTGGTGGGGGGGGTGTTTTGTTTGTTCTTAGGGATTATTACCATTCAACAATAATAGTGATGATACTACTACTACTACTGCAAATAATAATAATAATAACAGAATACAATGATTGCATGATTATCAAGTCCTAGGCATTGTTTAAGCAGTTTACATGTATTGACTCACTTAATCCCCATTTGAGAACTAAAGCATAATCATCAGAAAGATGCTATATCCCTGCATTACAGATTCCTGACAATAGTCTGGGCCGATTAGAGTTGATCCTCAAATTAGGGGGCCTATAGCCATTTATTGACCTGCCCTAAATGCTGCATTTGCGTCAATCTCATTTAATCTTCCCAAAACCTACAAGATAAGCATTAATGTATTTCTCCACTTGGCAGACAATCAGTATCTGTTTTTGAAAGAAGAAGTGATAAAGATGCCTAGGAATTATTGGCTGCTCTTCCCATCGAGAAGTGGGAATTGTTAGTCCTTCCCTTGAAAGTGGGCTGTCCCCATGCCTTGCCCTGGCCAGTTAAATGTGATGGAAGTTACCCAGGGCCAGTTCTAGGTTAAGATCTTGTCCAGTGGCTTCTCCCTTTGCTTTCTGGGCACCCAGCTGACATTCTGTACGGAAATCCAGGCTATCCAGCTGAAGAGAAGGACCACACAGAGGTACCCTGGAGGATGAGATGAAAGAGTCAGAAATGAGTCAGAAAGCATGAAAGAGAGAGAGCAGAGCCCTATAGAAGAGCAAGCTAGCTAACAAAAGGCACTTAAGCCTCTGACATGAAAAAGAATCTAGAATCTTCCAACCAGCTTGTCAACCAATGGAATTTAGCCATATGAACGAACAAAAGAAAAAAAAAAGAAAGAAAACAATTGAAATTTGAAGTCAACCCTCAAATTCATAAAAAGTAACACATCACTGTTGTTTTAAGATACTAAGAATTACCATAGTTGGTTACACAGAATGATACATGTGAAACAGGGACAATGAATTTTTTCCATCCCCCTATTACACAGTGGGAATACCATATGTGAGCGCTACTTAATAAAAGCTAAGTATTTGTACCTGTAGGAGTCACAGATAAAGATACAGAGAGAAGGAAATAATATCAGAGATGCTGTTCTCTTAAAGAACAAGAGAGTCTAGCATGGAGTCAGGTGACACTAACGTTAGGCCCTGCCTATGCAAATAAACTAGACAGAGAGCATCAAAGAATCATGGTTGTCTCTGCCCAACTCAACCATCAAAGCAGACTGACACCTGGTCACCTGGGTGCTGGAGTCATAATCCATCACAAACAGAGAAGAAAGAAACAGATGATTCGCCTTGCTGGAGACTCAGCCATCAGTCATCTCCATCCTTCTGCTCCACTAGGATCTCAGGTCCAACATTATCAGTCCCACAAGATTATAGGTGACAAGTGGTGATCCTACTGTCGCCCCAACACAGTGGGAAACTGGATGCTCCAGAGCCCGCCTTGATAGCTCTGCCTTTTGGAATTGTCCTCAACATATTTAACCTCTGGATATAGGCCTTTTGATTGCCCTGATCTGCATTCTGTGAGTTTTCCTGACCTGTAGATTTTTGCAGCCTGTTCAGATCCCACTTCTCTCAACTTTCAAGTTGGACAAAAATATTCAGGTCTCTCAATCAGAACTGCTTAGAGGATATCAAACTTATAGCCACCCAAGCCTCTACACTACCCAATTGTCAATAAGCACTCTCTGAATTCCTACCAAGTACACCAGAGATAGAAATATTTTATTTGACCCTTCTCTTGCCATCAGGAGGTCTCAATTTGAAAAAAAATCCTCCTAAAGAGTACTGGGTTACACTTAAAAAACACTCTAGTAAATAGAAAGTTATATCCCATACATCCGACTTTCAGTGAGTCAGAAAACCATAAAATATACCTGACACTAAAATTATACTGCACAAAAGTCAATCATTTTTTTTGAGAATTCATGAGACCCTTCAGGATCTTACAGCATTCTGGAATATCATTATGAATATCAGTTATCACTCTGCTCACAAAGCAGAGATAGGCCAATTAGCAGAGATTTCTGATAGACAGAAAGCCAGCTAAGCCTGCTCTCACTTGAGCGGAAAGAAAGGCATTTGCAAAAGAAAGTGAGCAAAAATCAGGAAGCAGAAGAGAAAGCATCCATTTTTTACAAGTATAAACTTTGCTCCTTCTGGTGCCATTACCTAGCCCTGGGAAGGGGTCAGGTAGAGAGTGGGTGGTGATTCCTAGGGACACTGGGTCCTCACCAGAACTTCCATCTTAGACTCAGAACTTGGGTGGGACTGCAGGAAGTCTCCCTTACTGTCTTCTTTTGGATCAAAGGTTTTGGTTGTTTGGAAAAAAAATGAAATCTTTCTCATATCCCAAGAGGGGAAATTGAGGAAGGTAATTACTCAGAGGAGATTTATGCGTCCATGCTAGAAATGCAAAAGCCATTCCAAAGAGACGTTTACGGATCACAATGCAACCAGAGTTGTTGCACCAAGTTGTTAATGGCACCCAGCTGAGTTCTGGAAATATGTTTCAGAGAAATGTCCAAAAGCTGGAATGAGGAATTTGTCTTCTCACAGAATTATTTAAGACCTTTAATTTGTTGAGAAAGGAATTACCAGCTCAAGACTTTGCAAGGCTGCAGTAATTAAACTAACAAATTATAAGTACATTTATCTGGATAAAAGCTATTCATCACCCAGAGGGTGTGACTGCCATATCCCACATGCTCAGCATTTTCAATTTTTCTCATTAGGCACCTATTTGCTCTGCACTGTGGGAACAGTTTGCTTAGAGAGAAAGGACCCTTACTTAATTCTCTTTCCATACCCTGAGTGACAGGCCACATAGAAGGCTTCAGGTTGCAGGGAGAAGGGGAGGAGGAGAGGAGGTCCGATCCATTTTAATGCCTGCAGCAGCAGGAAATTAAATCTTCTATGCAAAGCTCTGTGGCCAGCATAAGATATGAGAAGAAATATCTAAGTGTGGATATAAACGAGAAAGGTCAAAGACTTATTTTTCTTGTTCACCTTCATGCAATTTATTGGGAAACTGGCATATCATTACTCAAAAAGATAGAAATGAGACCATTACAGTTTCTTTTACTTCACCGGCTGAGTCAAACTTTGCATTTCAGAGCAGTTCCTCACGCCAGGGGTGAGGGCATTTATGCTGCCAGGTTTACCCAGGGGTGGGAATAAAAATGATTAAGTCTGAGCATCCTGCCTACTTCCTAGTTAATGATTTGCATGTGATTTAATGATGTCCACAGTGTCACCAGCAAACCCAACAGGCCCACTTGCTAGTCCATCATCCTGATCACTGAGAAAATATTAAATAAGAACTTCTAGTTAATGTGTCCTTTGGGTTGACCTAGAATTGGAGACCTTATCATTGGTTGCCTGACCCATCTCGGGGTAGTCTGAGACCTGATCTCTTTGGAAAGAAAAATGGAGAACAGAACTCAATGCCCAGCATTACAGTGGCCTTCATTTACCTACACAGTCCTAGTTTAGCTGATTAATCCTAACTCTGGACTTCAATTTAGACATTCAGGCCTTCCAACTTAGCTCTCCTTCCCTGTGATTGTAGCCATTCCCTATCACTGTGACACATACACACACACACACACACCATGCAATACCTTTATTTGGTTGGTTGGTGTCGGAAGCTGAACTGTGTCCCCAAAATTGGCAGGATTAAAGCCCTAACCCCAGTAGCTCAGAATGCCACTATATTTAGAGACAGAGTCCTTGCAGAGGTAAAATGGGTTTATTAGAGTAGACCTTAATTCAATATGATCGCTGACTCTGCAAAAAGAGAAGACCAGGACACAGACACACACAGAGGGGTGTTCATGTAAAGACACAGGGAGAAGACAGACATGGACAGAACTTTCAGAAGAAACCAACCCTGAAACACCTTGACCTTGGGCTTTCATCTTAAGCCCTGTCTGTGGGACTTCGTTATTGCAGCCTGAGAAGACTCATACAGTTGATTTGTCCTTCCATATAGCTGGATGGGTTTATCATCCCTAAAATATAAACTAAGTGAGATGGTCACTCTCAGTTCCTGGCTCTGGAGAGCAGGTAGATTAAATCAAAGTGGCCCGAATGGGACAGCACTAGGGTGACATTCAGAGCTGATCAAAGAACCAGAATCTCCAGCTTCTACTGTGTGTCAATATGGTGAGGGCTGCTAGAGGGGTTACCAGGGGACTTCCCCAACAGGATGGAAGTTGCAGTCTAATTGGTTCCCTGAATTGCACTCCCAAAACCAAACACAAGAACTCAAGGACCAGGAAATGGATGGCAGAGTGTAAATTGAGGTATACAGCAGAGTTCTGGGCTGACCTGTATGAAGGATTTCTGAGGGGCAATTGATCCTCCCATATTTCCACAACTTGTGGTGAGGTTGTCAGATAACAGATCCAATCAGGAATTTCCCTGAATGAGTTTATAGGTGTGGAAAGACACCCATGATCTGCACGCAGGTGTGCACGTGCTCACAAATGTGTCTTTTCCCAGAGATGTGCGCTAAGTGAGAAGACATGAACCCAGAGCTTTGCGTAACCATTTTCCTACCAGAAAGATCTGAGAGGTAAGATGAAAAAAAGACTATCTGAAAACAAAGTTTGAATTCCCAAGTGATTCTCCATGTTCCATTATGTTTCCACTTGGTGGAGGAAGACCTATCTTGAACTAGATTTCTCTTACTTTTATCTAGAAGAGTCCTGACTAGCACAAGTGGATATTTGTGGAATGAGTAAATTTTTTTGGAGGAAACTAAGCAGTATAAGACATGGTCCCTATATCAAAGAGTATTCAAAATCAACTCAATAAATCCTTTTAGATTAAATAGACAAATATATAGATGGGCAGTTGAGTTGGAGTAGTAGATAGTAGATACAATAAATTCAGAGAAAAGAAAAATCCCTATAAGTTTTAATATTAGGGATGGATTAAGGGAAGAGGGAGAATGTAAAGAGGCTGGTGGAGGGACATCTGGGGAAAGGAAAGGGATGCTGACCCTGGGCAGGGGAAGTAGGTCTGAGCAAAGACCCAAGAAGGGCTGTGGAGCATTTGCATATCAGAGAACAGACCTGGTTGTTCTGAAGTTGAGGGTTCCCACAGAGGACAACATTGGAAAGGTAAATTGAACTGATCCTTGAACTCCTCAGACACTAGATGAAGGTGTTTGAACAGTTTCAAGCCATTAAAGCTTTGGGGACAGGGAGAGGTGTGATGAACACAGAATTTGAGAGGGTAAAACCTGGTCAAAGTATTCATGTGTGTGAATTTGGAAGTAAGACTGCCGGTAGGAAGAATGGCCCTTCCCAGGAGCCGATTCTGAAGCCACTTCCTGTGAGCAGGAAGACACCTGAGCTGTCAGAACAGAGAGGAAATGGTAGTTGGTTTTCCTGATGTCTCCCAAAGACACATTTCCAGGTCTCAGCAACACACAAAACCCAAGGGGCACAACAAGGAGCATCTCATGTAGGCTCTTCTGCCTGAAATAGAATGTATTATGCTCACTGAGTTGCTATAACTGCCACGCCCAGATCCTATTGACCCCCACCCTGATTTGACAGGCACACATTGTACACATGTACTTAAATATCATACTTTACCCCATAAATATGTACAATTATCTCAAGTTATCCAAAATAAAATTAAATTTGTAAAAAATAAATTACAAATTGAAGTCTGG